AATGGTAAACATAGAAACAAAACAGAGGTTACAGATATGCATAATGCTAACCTGTGACCTCTTTCATTATGGAAAAAAGGAATCTCCTGTTAGCATCAAGATAAAATTGACTTGTATTTGCTCTTTAGTGCTAATATTTCAAATGATCATCAAGATTTCTTGTCGGATTCGAGGGAACGCAACTGTTCATAAAAATACAACACACAGACAATTTCGACCGTGTTTGTCATCCCATCGATATCTTTGCAGGCTTGGGCCTGAGCAGCAATAACTCACAAGTTGATCAGCTCTTGGTTGGCAGATCCTGTTATTGTCTTTCTGACATCAGAGAACGCCGTAAAGACCTAATTTGTGGTATCGACCGAGATGCAAATGACATATCATATCAAACTGGTTCCATTAAAATTCGCCTTGACTTTATTTTAATTCAAGTTTTAATAACGAGTAATTAGCAGGAATGCCTCCAAGCACCTTCATGTCAATAACGATTCTGTTACGTCACATGGTTCAACTCCATGCAACTTCATACCAATAACGATTCTGTCATCACATGGTTCAACTCCAAGCAACTTCATACCAATAACGATTCTTATACGTCACATGGTTCATCTCCAATCAACTTCATATCAATAACGATTCTGTAACATCTGATGGTTCAACTCCAAGCAACTTCATATCAATAACGATTCTGTAACATCTCATGGTTCAAATCCAAGCAACTTCATATCAATAACGATTCTGTTACGTCACATGGTTCAACTCCAAGCAACTTCATACCAATAACGATTCTGTAACATCTCATGGTTCAACTCCAAGCAACTTCATATCAATAACGATTCTGTTACATCACATGGTTCAACTCCAAGCAACTTCATATCAATAACGATTCTGTAACATCTCATGGTTCAAATCCAAGCAACTTCATACCAATAACGATTATGTTACGTCACATGGTTCAACTCCAAGCAACTACATACCAATAACGATTCTGTAACATCTCATGGTTCAAATCCAAGCAACTTCATACCAATAACGATTATGTTACGTCACATGGTTCAACTCCAAGCAACTTCATACCAATAACGATTCTGTTACGTCACATGGTTCAAATCCAAGCAACTTCATATCAATAACGATTCTGTTACGTCACATGGTTCAACTCCAAGCAACTTCATATCAATAACGATTCTGTAACATCACATGGTTCAAATCCAAGCAACTTCATATCAATAACGATTCTGTTACATCACATGGTTCGTCTTCGACATGTCGGATTTGATCACATTTGAGAAACATTGACTTTGACCAGGTCGTGACACATCGACTTTGTCACTTAAAGACACGTCGGTTTGTATCACGTTTGAGACAACTCAGCTTGTCCCCTGTTTTGAACACGTCGCTTTGTGTGCGCTGCTACAAGTTACTTCAATCAATTCAGTGATTTCCCAATAGAATACGTAGGTTCTACAGCGGTTAACAAAGAGAGAGCCTTGACCTAGTTTCTCTTTGGGGGTTTATAAGACTCTGCTCCAGAAAGTTTTCAGAGATTTTTTTTTAATTATTTCAGTGACATCTTTCCCTTTAAAGATTTTCATTAAACTTATCACATACTTGGTGGTCTAACACATGATAAGAATCTCCCGAATGTTTCAAGGTCATTAACTTACCATTTACAATAGCCCGTCATACTTCTATGTGTATTAACAAGGGAATTCATGTATTACAGACATTTTCTAGTTGTCCTTAAATCCGCGGGCTTTTTATCTAGCCGTATTATGTGTGTTTCTTTGTATATTTATGCCCACGATCTATATTGTCTTTTATTCTGACTGTTTGTCTGTCTTTTTGTCTGTTGTCAACGTTAAACTTGCCCATAACTATTGCACCGTAAGAAGTAGGGCTTTCATATTTGGCATGTGTGTTCCTTTTGACCTTGAGCTTTGACTGGCATTTGTAATGAAGTTAAAAAAATCATTACAACTATGAAGACATACGTGTTTAACATAGTGTGCATACAATTAGCACATAACTTACACAGTACAGTTTTAATGTCCCACTTCAGAGTTTTTATTGCAACCAGGGGCATAGTGTTTCATAAACACATCTTGTTTTCTCATAATTTAGGGCTTGCACGAAAATAATTTACCATGATACGATATACGATAAGGCTTTCGATTAAAAATCTTTCTCGAAGGGCAATAGATTTGAAAAAAATATGGATTGGAGATAGCTGATAGCGTCTTACCTTTCTCCGTGCCACAGCTGTAAGTATGATAGCCATAAGGTTGACCAGAACGACGTCATCATTGGACACCGCTTTTAGACGCTCGACCTATTGCCCTTATTCCTTTAAATTATTGATAATATTAAAATCTAATAAAATTTGAGCATGCCTACGATTCACATTGCAAATTCAGTCAGTTCTGTCATCTTAATTATTCATCAGAGAATCAAACGTCCAGTTGGAGTACAGCTAGTTCAGCTCTCAGCTTGCTGTATGACAAAGAGGTTAGATTGTCTGTGATACATAATTATTGATATTGATTCAACATTAGTGACACGTAACCTAGCATTAGTGTCTTAGAACACGACGTGTATTGAATGCGAGTTTACCTTCAATTGTCTTTCTTTTTGATGTCAAATTAGTCTTGCAGGACGCCTTGTTAACAGTTCAGTTATCATTACAGAAATACTTAACGCAATATGTACTTTATAAAATACATTGTTCAGCTGCTTTCAAGTTTGTTTCAATAACCAGTATGATAAAGTGTTACCATAGATACTGAGTAAAAAATCCCATGAGTAACCAAACTGTCATGTACGTACAGAAAAACAAACATGATGTGATTATAAAACACTATGCCCCCGGTTGCAACAAAACTTTGAAGCGGGACACTAAACTTGTACAGTACAAGGCATGTGCTAATTATATGCACACTTTGTGAAACACTGATGTCTTCATTGAAGTAATGTTTTTTTTTTTTTAATTTCAAATGTAGATCAAAGGTCACGGTCAAGGCCACATGGCCTGAAAAAAATTTGGTACCACAAGAAAGAAACACTAAGACCAAATATGAAATCCCTCCTCGTATGATGCTGTTGTTTTGGCCATTGTTACATATTTTAGATTAAGGTTAAAGGTCGCGGTCAAGGTATTATTGCCTATAGTTTTGATACCACCAGAAAGGCCTTGTCTTAAGGAACACATATTTGCAAAGTATGAAAGTCCTGCGTTTTACGGTGTAATAGTTATGGACAAGGATACACGTGACAACAGACAAACAGACAGCAAAACAACAATGAAAGTGCATGTCTCCCTCAACTCCATTTCGTGTATAGTTAACACCAGAATGAAAGCGGACTCTGTTTGTGAAATGATAAAATAAGAACTGTAATTAGGCGATCTAAGTTTAAATTCTGAAAGAAGTATTAAAAACATGCTAAATGTCGTGTTGGTTTGATTGCTACTAATGAGATTTATATCACTTAAGAACGAAATCTACATCCACATATCCGATTGGACAGTTAACGTCACATTGCGGTCATAAATATTAGTACAGAAGGCCGTGTGACGTCATACATGGTAATATGGCGTCATTATGGTAAACGTCGTTTCGAGATACTGAGGTTCAAATACATCATATGTCTCTTTGTTTGATGGACACGTACCATTATTTCTCTATATACGTTCTTCAGTTTTTACGTGTTTTTACGTGTCACTAATGATGTATGGGAGATACAAATACACATACTTTTCATTTACTTTCATGAGGATGGAAAAGTTCCTCCCTCTACACCACGGATCGGGAGGTGGGAGTTCTACCGCTTCTAATCTCAAGAACAACACGTAGTCTTGATCGCGCGACCCTTTAATGAAGTGTCTGTGTACTTACCATCCTTACAATCTTAAGTGTTTAGACGTGACGAGAGAATATATTGAAACTCAACTGGTTATGCATAGTACATCGTTATTGTGATTAAAAACAGTTGTAAATGTGTTTTACATAAATAACAATAAAAACAAATTACCATAATTATGAAAAAAAAATAAGTATATTTTTTCATGTTGTTAATTGTTTGCAGTTCCACATCATGTGTTTGTTATTAAGTTATTTGTACATGAGGAGGAGCCTTGGGCAATAAATTTATCAGGTACTTATCACACGTGGAACACTGCCATAGATAGGACGATTCGCTTCTAATTAATGTGATACAATCTACATCCCTTCCTGCTGAAATATATACCCCGTACGTAAGTAAATGTCGATTTCTTATTTACTTACAAAAACAATGCATATCAAACAATTTTGAGAACCAAGAGAACAGCAGTGTTATAAAATCGGGCTTCCGTTAATGTCTCTACAGTAATATCATCAACACGTTCGCCAACTTAAAGTGTTTTTGATTTAAATCTGTTATTATTTCAAGAGACGTGTTTTTAAGAAGTTAACCAGTGGGAGAGCGTCACATATACACCAGGCAATATATCCACGTTTGACGTAAATACAGATATGCATCATCGCTAAATGCAATTGTGTTAAATTGAGTGTGACGCACCCCGCAGAAGCGCTCTGCACTGAAACCTGTACTCGATGCCTACCATCTTTAGTTTGTCAGCATCACAGACGTGTACATACAGGACAGTGCAAAAACAGCGAAGCACATAACTATAGGCATTTTGGTGTCAACTACTATCCGCCAGTGTTAAAGAACTGTTAACGGAGTGATAGTCAGTGCTCGTGACAGCAGTCGTGCCTTACAATCAGCTCTGGTCAGGATGTGTGGGATTTGCTCACTCTGGCGAAACAGATGAAGGGAGACCCCCGCGAAGAACACTTGTTAGAGTTTAAAGACGGGGCCAGATAAAGCCAGATGACGTGGATCGATTCCTTAACTCACTGTGAGAGAACAGCTGTACTCACTATTCAAGGGCAATTACGGATGCAAGTGTTGCCGTTTAAATGGACATGTATATGAATTATAGTTTATGAAGAACTAATATGGCACTTTCGATGAATTCGTCAGGGAGCAATATGACTCCTAGTTCGGTAGACGAGCAGGACTATCTGGATTATTACGACTCTAGTATTCATAACTATCCATTGGCACTACAGGCACAGCCGTTTATACAGGTAGTGACCAAAATTTCTGTGTATGCTATTATCATACTGACCGCCCTGGTAGGAAATCTTCTCGTTATCCTAGTGGTGGTCAAAAACAAAAGAATGAGGACAACCACCAACTATTTTATCGTTAACTTGGCAGTGTCCGATCTTATGGTCATCGTCTGGTGTTGCTGGGTGTATCTTGTCGATGACCTGTCCGAAGGATGGATTCTAGGAAGTTTCTTCTGTAAATTTAACAGCTTTGCTCAAGGTAAGTCACCGTCAGTGAAAATGTACAGCATTGATGACAAGAATTTTGCTTAAAGTAATTTACAATCAATTAAATGATGTAAGATTGATTGTAAAAAAAGTTTTTCTTAAGTAATTCACAATCGCGAAATAAATAGCATAATAAAACTGTGAAAACGTGTATACTGTCGTGACATCTCTTTATGTGTATGTATATCAATTATGCATTGTAATGTCAGTTAAAATGTACACGAACGTGTCACAGGAAGATACTTATTTATTTATAGTTCCAGACGTAACGCAAGGCTGCTCTAGCATTTTTAGTGACTACAGGCGGATGTTTCTCTACAAGATAAATCAATACAAATTAATTAAAACAATAAAGCATTTCAGTTAAGTATTTTTTCACGAAGTATCTGAGTACCATTTACTTAACACAAACAACACTTATAGGCGGTAAAGAAGATCGGTTCATTATCCTACAGGGTCAAACCGATCTGTATTTCTAAGACACTTGAAGGCTTATTCCAAAATTGATCATTGGAATCAATAAATATTGATTTACGATTTAATAAGGATGGATGTGTTCATTCAGAACATTGGTATTATTGTAATAACTTAAGCATAAACTTAGAGAAGGCATCTCGAGGCAAGTATAAGCAGTCTCAGTGCCATTCATTATTCAGCAGACACGGTGAGAGTGATGGTCTGTAACAATGCTTGGTAGTCGTAGTGAACGGATAGCGAAGGATTAAACAGAATACACAAGTTGCTCTGTGCAATTACCGACGATGTACACTGTGCTACCGGACAGCTGTAAGCCATAAGAGATAGGCAATCTCATGCTAAAATTTTTATCTGGTACTTTGATAGCCTCTGATAAGTAATGGACTGATATTTCTATATTATTAACACAAGGAAATATTTTTCCTTGTTGGGTTTTCTTATTTTGTTGGAAGATGTTCTTTCAGCTGTGTTTTTCATATTATCGTAACAACATCTCGAGGTCAAAGGTCAAAGATTATTGAATAACGTAGCATGATTTACCATGAAAATTTATGTTTGTGATGATAAAGTCCTTTGTTTACAAACATTTTAACCCTTTGATATACGTTTTGCTAATCAAAAGCAAAGTTCGTTAAAATATAAGTAAGGCCTCGATGCCGTATAATACAGATAAATCCCAAAATAATTTAATATGTTTGTTTATCTACGTACGAATAACGTATTCCAGTTGAATATTGGTATAAATAGAATAATAATCGTTGTCCCTTTCTTGGTTAACTGTGTTTTGTTTTCGCATCAGGCTAAGTGTATCGAAATGTGTATGTATTTGTACTGGAAAGGTAACACAGGCCATATCGAGTTCTAAGATGTTATCCTGAAGAATATCCAATATGTGTTGTGTTTGAATAACTAGACATAGAAATGAACATAAACACCTTCTCTAGAACCCGATATGTAAGTTGATGAGGGATAGTATTATATAAGTCGATTTAGCATGTGGAATATTATTTCATGTATTTTACGCGACTTGAAAACATATTTGACGAAACATGGTCATTTTTTCGATTGTCTTGGTTTGTGATAAACCATAAGACGCTTTTCCTTACTGAGTACAAGGTCTTGTTATCATTGATTTTAATGTACGTCTTTTTAGGAGTCTTTTCGAAGATCAGTTCATTATTTGGCACAACTGTTTCTAATTCTAAATTTTATTTTAAAATGACATTTCCTTGCGTGTCTTTTGTACATCTTCGCCTTGTTAACTCACCTAGTCCGGTGAATTTTTGCCAAAATTTGGTCTGAAGAATTCTTACGTGAAGAGGAATCACTTTAGTATAAACGGTAGGTCTCGAACCTTTGGGGTCAGAGGAGCGGGACCCAATAGGGGAAATAGTGCAAATTGTTTAACATCCAACTCCTTCTGTAGGAATAATTGAATGTTGCCGCAGTTAGGTCTGAAGCATTCTTGGGTGAACGGGAATCAATTTAGTATTAACGTTGAGTCTCTTGGAGCCAGAGGGGCGGGACCCAAACAGGGGAAATAGAGCAAATTCAATTAAATCTAACTCCTTCTATAGGAATGATAAGATTTTGTCCATGTTTGGTCTGAAACATTCTTGGTCAAAGGGGAAATAATTTTGTAGAAATATTTAGGCCCCTGGAGCCAGAGAGGCGGGGCCCGATAGGTGAATAGAACACAATGTTTAAAATGCCACTCTTTTGAAGGACAGATAAATACAACAGCTAAACAAACAAACATTTACAAATTAGAGATAAAAAACCAACACATGAACAAATTACAGATGAACACAACAAATACACAAACCACATACTTACAAATCATAGATTTACATAACAGCTAAACAAACATTTACAAATCACAGGTAAAAAAAACCCACACTATATATAATCTATTAGATTTATAATCGTTTTTTAGAGGGAGACGATTGGGCTCATAGTGATGATATACAGGTTTGTAGTATTTTGTTTAAAACAATCTATCCTCAGACATCAATTTTCTGCTGATGTGACGAGGACAAACCATGGACCTGGATGATACCACTGTTCACATATATAACACTGCTTGTTATTGTCAAACTTTGGTTCTATGTTGATATAATAGACAATACCGACTCCTACGTTTAACTGTATGTCAGTATGATCTACTGATTGTCAATGTTTTGATTTTGTTTACTCAACTCAAGAGAGATCGAAAGTGGCATGTGGTGACTTTGTTGTTATTGAACGCTGTCTTCAAAAATATATATATGAAATGAAGAGGTGATTCCTAACCTCCTCTAGCCACAAAAAGGTAATTGGTGATGCCCGACGCAAATTAGTTACTAAGTTTGGGAGTAACAAGTTCAGGAACGTGCAATGGATTCAGAAGGCAAGGTGATACTAAACTGGACAATAACTAGATATTTGTCTGATGTGTGGTAATGTTATTATGATGAATAGATATCTGATGTGTGGCAATCTTAACTTGATAGCTAGATATCTGATATGTGTCAATCCTAACTTGATAGCTAGATATCTGATGTGTGGCAATCTTAACTTGATAACTAGATATCTGATGTGTGTCAATCCTAACTTGATAGGTAGATATCTGATATGTGTCAATCCTAACTTGATAGCTAGATATCTGATGTATGGCAACCTTAACTTGATAGCTATATATCTGATGTGTGGCAATCCTTACTTGATAACTAGATATCTGATGTGTGGTAATCCTAACTTGATAACTAGATATCTGATGTGTGGCAATCCTTACTTGATAACTAGATATCTGATGTGTGGTAATCCTAACTTGATAACTAGATATCTGATGTGTGGCATCATGATAACTAGATATATGATGTGTGGTAATCCTAACTTGATAACTAGATATCTGATGTGTGGTAATCCTAACTTGATGACTAGATACCTGATGTGTGATAATCCTAACTTGATAACTAGATATCTGATGTGTGGCATCATGATAACTAGATATATGATGTGTGGAAATCTTAACTTGATAATTAGATACATTATGTGTGGCAATCTTAACTTGATAACTAGATATCTGATGTGTGACAATCTTAACTTGCTAACTAGATAACTAATGTGTGGTAATCTTAACTTGATAACTAGATATCTGATGTGTAGCAATTCTTACTTGATAACTAGATATCTGATGTGTGGTAATCCTAACTTGATAACTAGATATCTGATGTGTGGTAATCCTAACTTGATGACTAGATGTCTGTTGTGTGGCATCTTGATAACTAGATATGTGATGTGTGACAATACTTACTTGATAACTACATATCTGATGTGTGGCAGTCTTAACTTGATAAAAACATATCTGATGTGTGGTAATCCTTACTTGATAACTAGATATCTGATGTGTGGTTATCCTAACTTGATAACTAGATATCTGATGTGTAGTAGTCCTAACTTTTTAACTAGATATCTGATGTGTGGCAGTCTTAACTTGATAAAAACATATCTGATGTGTGGCAATCCTTATTTTTTAACTAGATAACTGATGTGTGGCAATCTTAACTTGATAACTAGATATATGATGTGTGACATCATGATAACTAGATATCTGATGTGTGGCAATCCTAATTTTTTAACTAAATATCTGATGTGTGGCAATCATAACTTGATAACTAGATATTTGATGTGTGGCAATCCTTACTTGATAACTAGATATCTAATGTGTGGCATCATGATAACTAGATATTTGATGTGTGGCAATCCTAACTTGCTAACTAGATACCTGATGTGTGGAAATCCTAACTTGATAACTAGATAACTGATGTGTGGCATTCCTAACATGATAACTAGATATATGATTTTAATTGCTACTGGTTATTTTTCTTTAACTACATCAGTGTGACGGTAAATATTTATGTTCGCTGCCATGTTCAGTTATCACTGTTTAACGTCATATGACAAAAATGCAATTTGCTTCCATTTATTTTTGTTTTTGTGTCTCTAATCTGATCGTTTCGATCTTGTTTAGATTTTACGGGGTATGTTTTGTTCAGATAAATAACGTATTTACAGGACAATTTTTTGTTGTGTTGAACCATGCTAAGTAAGACAGGCGAGTTTTATAAGTGATTTGTCTCTCTAGTGAATTGTTAGTCAGGATATATATGGCAGTATAAGATTAAGTAATTCTGTGATCAGTCAATGAACCCAGCCATCACTTAGATTGTTGTAGCTTGGAAACATGTATCCCCAATGAGGTTTGTACAAAATACAAGTGAATAGAATTATGTCGATACAAATTAACTTATGGAAAAGTGATAACTGCCGCGACCCTCCATGACTCTTCGGTGACGCTGGAGGCCAGCACATTTCAGGAAGGGAATGAGGAAAAGAGTGTAATGGGACGTAAACAACAAAAGTGAAAACAATTTTTATGTCATTGGAAAAGTGGCACGGTTCAGATTATAAACATATACTTGTTCTTAAATCATCAGACATGAAAATTACAAAATTTATTGAGTATGGGTCTAG